GAGTGTCCGTGTAGACAACTGGCAGATGGTTCTCTATCGTGTCTATTGTCGCAGCTGAACATTCCAAAAGGCATTTAGTGACATTTCTTTATTCAATTAAAATTGTTCTTTTTAAATCGCTGTTTGAGTGTAGGTTTCCTCAAAGAACGATCATACAAATATAAATATGACTCTTAGCTCAGACATTGATGATAATGACTGAGATAATACTCCTAAAGAAATATTTTAAAAAGGGCAAAGATCACTTGCTGCTTAGGGAAGAAAAGTGCCATTAAAGTTGTTCACAGATGAAAAATAATCTATACAGTTTGTTGTAAGTCAATACAATTCCAGTAAAGGCTTTTGCATCATATTCAACTTTGAACTTGCTGGTAGCTCAAGACAAATTAAAAGGCATGCAAAGACAGAAAAGCACAAGAAAGGCAAAGAAGCTGTAAAATAAAGATCAACTCCGATTTTTTTTTTAAAGTAAGCCAGTGTGTGTGCGTGTGCCTGCGTGTGTGTGTGTATATGTATCTTACAGATGTATTAAAAATTATTTGTACTTTTTGGTGTGTCTTGGTACCTTTAAAAAACAAAATACTATTTCTCTTCCCACCCCTCTTCCACCCCCCCCCCCCCCCAAAAAAAAAAATCAGCATCTCTGATTGCTACACATTATTTGTGGATTCGTTGGGGAAGAAAATAATGAGGAAACGGAAAAGAAGAGGTGGAAGAAGAAGAAGAAGAAGAAGGGAAACGGAGAAGAAGAGGTGGGAAGAAGCAGTAGCAGCAGCAGCAGCAGCAGCAGCAGCAGCAGGAGGAGGAGGAGGAGGAGGAGCAGCAGCAGCAGCAGCAGCAGCAGCAGCAGAAGAAGAAGAAGAAGAAGAAGAAGAAGAAGAAGAAGAAGAAGAAGAAGAAGAAGAAGAAGAAGAAGAAGAAGAAGAAGAAGAAGAGAAGAAGAAGAAGAAGAAGAAGAAGAAGCAGCAGAAGAAAAAGAAGAAGAAGAAAGAAAAAGAAGAAGAAAAAGAAGAAGAAGAAGAAGAAGAAGAAGAAGAAGAGAAGAAGAAGAAGAAGAAGAAGAAGAAGAAGAAGAAGAAGAAGAAGAAGAAGAAGAAGGAAAATTTATTTTTGTGTGTGTGTGTGTGTGTGGGGGGGGGGGGGATGGTGCTAGGCGGGAAGTGAATCCTGTGTGGTTATATGATTATTACGTGTTTCTCCTGTCTGGTGTAATCTCTGCCCTTCCTCCCTGTGAGCGCCATTCACGGAGACCGACTCACCACCGACATGGTGCCACATGGAGCGGGCAGCCGCCAGACATTATGTAATATCAGCTGGGCGACTGCCAGCGGGGGATCAATAATCGGCCACAGCAGGGAATTACTGACATCATTTGCCTATAGCATGCGACTGACAAGTGGGAAAAGGTACTTTTTGCCGCTTCATGAGAACTTTACTGTACAAATAAGTCAGTAAATGACTCATTTCACGCCAGTGGCGCATAGGGCGTTTGATGCCGAACATTTACTGTTATAGATCAGTCGGCACTTGGTGGGTGAGGTAGGTGGTCAACACAATGCCGCTTTGACGTGGCCGGGCACCACACATACAGAGAGAGAGAGAGTAGGAGAGAGAGAGAGAGAGAGTAGGAGAGAGAGAGTGTAGGACAGAGAGAGTAGAGAGAGAGTAGGAGAGAGAGTAGGAATGAGAGTAGGAGAGAGAGAGAGAGTAGGAGAGAGAGAGAGTAGGAGAGAGAGTAGGAGAGAGAGTAGGAATGAGAGTAGGAGAGAGAGAGTAGGAGAGAGAGAGAGTAGGAGAGAGAGAGTAGGTGAGAGAGTAGGAGAGAGTAGGAGAGAGAGTAGGAGAGAGAGTAGGAGAGAGAGTAGGAATGAGAGTAGGAGAGAGAGAGAGTAGGAGAGAGAGAGTAGGAGAGAGAGTAGGAGAGAGAGTAGGAGAGAGAGTAGGAGAGAGAGAGTAGGAGAGAGTAGGAGAGAGAGAGTAGGAGAGAGAGAGTAGCAGAGAGAGAGAGAGTAGGAGAGAGAGAGAGTAGGAGAGAGAGTAGGAATGAGAGTAGGAGAGAGAGAGAGAGTAGGAGAGAGAGAGTAGGAGAGAGAGAGAGTAGGAGAGAGAGTAGGAATGAGAATAGGAGAGAGAGAGTAGGAGAGAGAGAGTAGGAGAGAGAGTATGAGAGAGAGTAGGAGAGAGAGTAGGAATAAGAGTAGGAGAGAGAGAGTAGGAGAGAGAGAGTAGGAGAGAGAGAGTAGGAGAGAGAGTAGGAGAGAGAGAGAGTAGAAGATAGAGAGAGAGTAGAAGAGAGAGAGTAGGAGAGAGAGAGTAGGAGAGAGAGTAGGAGAGAGAGTAGGAGAGAGAGTAGGAATGAGAGTAGGAGAGAGAGAGTAGGAGAGAGAGAGTAGGAGAGAGAGAGAGTAGGAGAGAGAGAGTAGGAGAGAGAGAGTTGAAGAGAGAGAGAGAGTAGAAGAGAGAGAGAGTAGGAGAGAGAGAGAAAGAGAGAGAGAGACAGAGACTGAGGGTGAAAGAGAGCAAGATACTAAGAGAGAGAAAAAGAGAGAAAGAGACAGAAAAAGAGAGAAAGAGACAGAGGAAGAGAGAAAGAGACACAGGAAGAGAGAAAGAGACAGAGGAAGAGAGAAAGAGACAGAGGAAGAGAGAAAGAGACAGAGGAAGAGAGAAAGAGACAGAAAAGGTGAGATCGAATGAAAGTCACACGTTTTACACGAAGATGCATACAAAGCAGAGACTTACGACGTGTGTAATGAAATGTCTGAGAAAAGCGGGCAACATAACAAGGCGAGACTGTAAAAGAAACGAAGATTTCACCAGAACGGTGGGAACAACACCTGCAATTAGATTTATCCTTCTTTCGTATTTAAAGAAAACAAATGGTACTTTCAACCAGCATCTCTGAAGCGACAGCTTTTGTTTACACTTGTGACTACGTTTTTTGCGCAGATAAAATGGCTTAGCCGTGCTCGCCACCAAGTAGCCCTGAAAAGGACTCTTGCAATCTTGATACGATCAAAGGAAACAGACCCAAATACTCTCCGGACCGGTGACGAAGTCGTTTACTGACCAGCCAATGGGCGACCCGGTAGCCGATGATGCTAGATTTATGGAACCACAAAGACTGGAATGGTTGGCTCCCTGACCAGAATGAACCCAGGGTCGCCGGTTGCAAGAGCAAACAACAAAACAATGGAAACATCAAGAGGCAGAGGAAGGCCACCAAAAAGAAATGGACAGACAAAGCTAATGACTTGCTGAAACTGAACAACATCACCCTGCAGTTAGCTAAAGAGCGAGCACTATACCGGAAACCGACTGTTAGCTGTGCTAGCGATGCACAACAGCATTTAGCAGAGAAAGAAAATACAGACAGAGATACAAGAAAAAACGATTGCCCCTAAAAGCAGGCTTGTCCGGCTCTCAAGCGTAGTTCGCTAAACCGGATTGCGCGGTGAGCGGGTGACGAACTCCTTATGGTCCGGGTTTACTCCCGGGGGTAGGCAGAAAAGCAGAATTTTCTCCCAGATTTACGGTATTTACAATGGAATCAAGGCCGAAAGGTTGAGATATCCACAATACCGAGCCTAAGGGTTAACAACACATGGCTCCTGGATACTAAAACAAACAAACAAAAGCAGGCTTAGGCAAGAAATAATGTCCAATTTTCAAAGTAGATGTAGGCATATAATATTTGCAGACGCAGGCGTAGACAGGTAATAATGATTACATTTAAAAGTAGACCAGGAATAAGTGTTAATGCTCGGAACATTATGCAAGAATGTCAACTTTAGAAGCAGATTAACAATAATGAGCAGCTTAAGCAGCCGATCAACCATAATGACTAGCTTTAGAAATATAGCAACCATAATGAAACAGCTTAATAAATAAATCAATTATAATGATTAATTTTAAAAGTAAATTAGCTATAACGGCCTGCTTTGAAAGTAAATCCACCATGACTAGCTTCATAAGTAAATTCACCAAAATGGCTAGCGTTAAAAGTAAATCAACAATAATGACGAGCTTCAGAAAAGATCCACAGTAAAAACCAACTTTAGACGTATATTAACAAGGACAAGCTATATAAAAAACAACTTATTAGAAACTATACATAGCTGAAGTCAAGTTTAAAAAAAAAAAACACACACACACACACACATACACACACACACAAACATACACATTAAAAATAGAAATATAACGTAATAATCAATATTTAAAAATATATATATATATACATACACACTTGGATATATATATACACACACACACATACACACACAAATATACACATTAACAATAGAAATATAACGTAATAATCAATATTTAAAAAAAAAATATATATATATATACATACACACTTGGATGGTGCGGAGATAAGGGCACAGACCTGATCCGTGATTATGGTGACAGTGGGATGGTAAGTCATGACCATTCATCCATGCTTGTCGATAATGATGAATATGATGTAAGTAGCAATCAATTCTTTCTCCTCCTTTTCCATGGTTAGTTGGTTTTTGTGGCTATTGTTTTTACAGTATGAAGTAGCCAACCCCAACCCTACACTTAGTCGTCTCATACGACATGCCTGGTAAGGTGCAGTGTTCCCATCCTCTGCTCTCTGTGAGGGTCCCGGTAACACTCGGGTGATGATGGTGATTATGATATAAGTGAAGGATCCTTGTCCACGCTACAGGCCTACAGGGCATATAGGGCTAGACCTATATTTTATAGACCAATCGGCACTTGGTAAGTGACGTGGTCAGTATCACACCGGCCGCCCTTACTACAAACTTCTGCATTTAGTACCCACACAAGGCTGGGTCGACCTACCAGTGAAGATCACTATTTAAACAAATCAGGCTCCGTCAGGATCCGAACCCACGACCTTTCGATCCGCAGCAAGCGTCTAGCCGCCACACCACGGCGGCTTCCTTATGATGTAGGTATGATATAAGTCACAATGACTGATAGACAAGAGACAAGCGAGCACTCACCTTGCCACACTGTTTGCATTTGCCCTCGTGTCGCCGTCGATGCACCCAGTGGTGCCTCATAAACGTCTGCTGCAGACACAGAAACAACTCAGGTCAGGTCCAACCCATGTCAAGCTATTTGGGTAATCTGTGTACTACACGGGTTAAGCTGTGTGCCGTTGGCTCTGAAGGATAAAGGTTCCATTTCGGACTCCGATTATTTGGTTCGCGCGTGCATGTGTCCTGCAGACTTACCCGGGTCGTTGTTGGAGCTACGAAATACGTGCTTTGTACAACACTCTCGAGGGCTACCTGCGCTATACGGAACCTGACAGCAATGAATTCGAACCTCTTGGATTTAAAAAAAATGAATACTTCAAACTATCACATGTGTAAGGAATAAGAATCATTCTACAGTGTTACAGAAACATATAGTTATCCGACGGCTCGTTTTTATTAGTAGAAGGCAAGGCCTGTATGTCTAAAAACTATCGATGACCCAGTTGCAAAAGTAGTGTCGACTGATTGGCTGAACCCTAAGGCAGCGATTCTCAAACCTTTTTCTTCGCAGCACCCACCTACACACATTTCGCGGCACCCTGGTCGGGCTACAAACATTTCGCGGCACCCTGGTCGGGCTACAAACATTTCGCGGCACCCTGGTCGGGCTACAAACATTTCGCGGTACCCTGGTCGGGCTACAAACATTTCGCGGCACCCTGGTCGGGCTACACACATTTCGCGGCACCCTGGTCGGGCTACAAACATTTCGCGGCACCCTGGTCGGGCTACAAACATTTCGCGGCACCCTGGTCGGGATACAAACATTTCGCGGCACCCTGGTCGGGCTACAAACATTTCGCGGGACCTTGGTCGGGCTACAATTATTTCGCGACAAAGCTACGCTTAAAGCAGTTCAATACTTAAGAGAAAATAAAAATTCAAATTTAATATTCATTTGTCTTTAATGCGATAAAGGGTATTGCTTGGATGCATTTTTTTTAAATGGTGCGGCACCCCAGGCATACGCTCGTGGTACCCCAGGCATACGCTCGTGGCACCCCAGGCGTACGCTCGTGGTACCCCAGGCATACGCTCGTGGCACCCCAGGCATACGCTCGTGGTACCCCAGGCATACGCTCGTGGTACCCCAGGCATACGCTCGTGGTACCCCAGGCATACGCTCGTGGTACCCCAGGCATATGCTCGTGGTACCCCAGGCATACGCTCGTGGTACCCCAGGCATACGCTCGTGGTACCCCAGGCATACTCTCGTGGCACCCCAGGCATACGCTCGTGGTACCCCAGGCATATGCTCGTGGTACCCCAGGCATACGCTCGTGGTACCCCAGGCATACTCTCGTGGCACCCCAGGCATACGCTCGTGGTACCCCAGGCATATGCTCGTGGTACCCCAGGCATACGCTCGTGGTACCCCAGGGTGCCGTGGCACCCAGTTTGAGAACCGCTGTCCTAAGGCATTCTTGTCTGCAATTTGAACAATTCCGCTAATTAAATTATTACACAGATTTTTGATGTCACAAAATTATGTTCCTTTCGGTGGCTATGCACTATGTCTCCCTCCCCCCCCCCCTCTCCCCAACCCCCGAGTAGAAATAAATATGCAAGTTGCATCACCATATCATCATCAAGTTATTGACCATCTGGTATCTGGTCAATTTTAACACCTAGCCATCTTCTACTGCATATATCAGTTCACATGCTGTCATTTTTCCATAAGAATGTCAAGACATTTATATTTTTGCATTCCTTTATCCTTTACTATAAACTTCGTGGCAGTTGTAACTTTCCGTACGTTTTTTTTTTTTCCTTGTAAAAATATACCCGAAATTTTTAACTGCCCCTTTGGATATTTGTAATAAGTTGTACATGGAACTGAAGCATTCTTCACTAAAACCACATTCTATAGGCATGACCTAATGTGTCTTGCTGCTACTTTGGAGTTTTCAGTCACAAGTCCACATCCTGATGTTAAAAATGATCTTACGTAGCGTGTAAGAATGATTTGTTTTACTACTTTGACACAAATGCAGTACACGCATTCGTTTCAATATCTCAATATACATAATATCCAAGGTTAGTTGCGTATCCTTTACAGGACGTTGCAGAACCAACCCTAACAGCCCCTGGCTGTTGTGTGGTTTCTCTAGGAAAGTTTACATCCAGTAGTTTGCCAATGCTTTCTGGATGGTCGGCTTTATTGATAACACTGTCGAAACCAACGCAAGGCTCGTTGCCCGCATCGAACCTGGCATCCCGGCATTACGAAGCGTTCGCATCGACTTAGCCACAGAGCTGACTACAAAATATAGATTCGACTTTTCGTTTAGGCAGGTGGGTGCCATTTAGCTATGACATGCCGACCACTATTATTTTCATTTCTTATGCCACCAACTTCACAATGGTGTAATAGTTAAGAACTAACTACAATTTATAAATATTACTTCTCACTGCTACCTTGTACATTTAATACGTGTGTGCGCTGTTGGATTTGCTTAGATTGCATTGTGTCAATTTTTATTTTTTATTTTTACTAGGTACATTAATGGACATTCTGTGTTGTTTTCGTTGGCATAGAAACTGGGGTGACCCGTTGGCCATGAAATTGTAACGCTATTAACTAATTACCCGATTACTTATAAATATTAGAATAGCAAAAAGCACTGCGTTCTAAAGTTTAGGTTTTTTTTTTTCTTTTTTTTTCCTTCTTAATAATATCCCTAATATATATCCTTAAAGTTGTTTAAGCGACTCCCGAGATCGGTGGAACTTATTTAATTTCACAAAGCATATACCGAAAGAGGAGAAGGAAGTAAAGCACAAGAGAGACCATGAACAAGATGGAAGATATCAGAGAAACTCCACAACACCACCATGTGTCTATAGTCGAGGCAGCCAGGAAAAAAAGAAAAAAAAGGAGAGATATTTCCCTCGACAGCCGAAGCGATAAAACAGGAAGTAAAGAAGAAGAAGAAGAAGAAGAAGAAGAAGAAGAAGAAGAAGAAGAAGAAGAAGAAGAAGAAGAAGAAGAAGAAGAAGAAGAAGAAGAAGAAGAAGAAGAAGAAGAAGAAGAAGAAGAAGAAGAAGAAGAAGAAGAAGAAGAAGAAGAAGAAGAAGAAGAAGAAGAAGAAGAAGAAGAAGAAGAAGAAGAAGAAGAAGAAAAAGAAGAAGAAAAAGAAGAAGAAGAAGAAGAAGAAGAAGAAGAAGAAGAAGAAGAAGAAGAAGAAGAAGAAGAAGAAGAAGAAGAAGAAGAAGAAGAAGAAAAAGAAGAGGAAAATAAGGAGGATCAGAAGGAAAAAGAGGAGAAGAAAAAGGAATAGGGCGAGAAGGAGCAGAAGAAGAAGTACGAGGAAAAGGAGAAAGATAACCGGAAGGAGGGGGAAGAATGCGAAGAGTATTGGCAGGAAGAGGAGTAGAGGCAGAACTGGCTAGAGATGTTATTTATTCCCTTGTTTAAAATCCTATTTCTGAAACTTCAGTAGATTTTCTTTAGCTTGTTTACTCATTTTACAGAATTCACAGCCGCATACTAAAAACAAGCAACACCCCAATGCCCCAACACACACATATACACACACAACCCCACACACACACACACACACATACACAAAGAGAGAGAGAGAGAGAGAGAGAGAGAGAGAGAGAGAGAGAGAGAGAGAGAGAGAGAGAGAGAGAGAGAGAGAGAGAGAGAGAGAGAGAGAGGGGCTCAACAACAAGGAAACACACTGTAAACAAACACTCTGTTTTCATACGAGACTCACCTCCCTATAGTTCCTAAACCCGGCCTCACGGAATGTTGGTTTGCATCTCAGGTTCTTCTGTAACAAGAGTAACAAGTCTCCCATGTAGAAAACCACGACAGACTAGCAGTGTTGGGACACTAATGATGGTTACAGATGGGAAAACAGGGACATAATGATTTGGTAATGTGTCTGTCACGTTGAAAGAAACGAAAGTTTTTAGTGGGCAAAAGGAGGTGGGAGACATTAAGGCAGATATTTATGATGGAAAGATTAAGCGAGGGATTACAAAAGAGAAAAGAACAGAAAGAATGAATAGGGATGTTACTAGATAACAGTAAACATACACGAGACAAAAAGAATGGCAATATGTTGTAATTATATCTAGGTTATTACTGAACTGAACAACAGAAAATCCATATATATATATATGAGTCGAGAAAGAGAGAGAGAGAGAGAGAGAGTCGAGAGAGAGTGGAAAATGAGTCAGAAGGGGGGGGGGGGAGTGAAAGGAGAATGAGTCAGAGAGAAAGAGAGAGACCGGGAAAGAAAGAGAGTAGGTGAATTACTTAACATAAAACAGACACGAAACCAGACATCAACTCTTGGCAATTACTTGGCTATACCAAAAAGAGGTAAACATTTACTAACATATCGAACATAGTGCTTGTGTGCGTATGCATGTGTGTGTGACTGTGAGAAAGTGACAGACTGATAGACAGACATATAGACAGAGAAAGAGAGACAGAAAGAGAGAAAGAGAGAGACAAAGACAAAGAGTGATGGCAGACATTAAACCGTATAAATACAATCCTAAACCACCATGTACCAATGGTGCTGAAACTATTTGCTTAAATGAGCCTCTTCTTCAAGACACTGGACTGCCAAACCCAGCATTGTTTGACCGTCTGATTTTACTAGGTAATTTTACCTTGCGTAGTCTGCCACTGCTTAAGAACGGTCGGCTATCGATACCATTGTCGAAATCAACGCAGTACGGTCTGTTGCCATATCGGCCGCAGCTGCAAACGAACTGGGTACCTTGAAAATTACGAAACCCGTTCGTAAACTATAAGCTACATCCGTCGACTTTGAAATTATAACCCTCCCCCGTCCCCTTTTTAATATTTTATTTTCACACACACACACACACACACAGAGATATATATATACAAAGATACAAAGAGGGAGAGAGAGGGAAAGAGAGAGACATATAGAGAGAGAAAAGGGGGAGGGGGGGAAGTGTGGGGACTAAACAACCTAGAAACAAACCAGAACCAGACCCACCATACGTTATAATCGCAAACACAACCGGCTACCTGAGTTGACTAAACAACAGAAAGGTCAGAAAACAACCACAGCCCACATCTCCAGGTAACATGTGCAGGTGAGTCATTGTTCTCCTGCACTCAGCGCTAGCACTCATTCATTCTACACCTAGTAATTACCGCATGTTCTTTTCAGAGGTCGGCCTCTGTAGCTTGCGCGTTGCGAACACGTTTCGTAATGCCGGGGTGCCGCGTTCGATCCCAGCTGTTGACGATTTGTGTTGCGTTAGTTTCGACAGTGGTACCGAGAGCCGACCGTGTAGATAGCAATGGCAAACTACTGAAGGTTAAAGCTGCCTAGAAAAACATCAGCTTTTGGGGAGAGAGAGAGAGAGAGAGAGAGAGAGAGAGAGAGAGAGAGAGAGAGAGAGAGAGAGAAAGGGTGTGGTGGTAGCTGACCTCTACCTGAAGCATCATAACTGGCGGATATGGTGTGGGGTAGCTGCGGGGGGAAAAGGGTTTCCTGGACAAACGAACAGGTATGAGCCAACAACTGTCACTGTGCAAATACCGCCTATTTCTTACAACACCATCAGAGTATGCGTTCGCTCTACGCTCAACTGCAAAGAAAGGATAAATCTGCAAGCGAAGGATACCTCAACAACAGGATACCTCGGAAATGACATTTGATCTCAGCAAGAAAATGATAACCCCGGTAAGAAACGATTCCAAAGCAAGTTAAGGACTCAGCAAGAGAATGGCACTTCAACAGGTAAAGGAAATCTAAGTAAAGAAAGGTTTCGCCGACACAAAAGATAACTCCCCAGGGGAAGGGAACTTATTAAAAAAAAGATACATCAACATGAAAGAATACCGCAGCACAGAACAGATTATATACATCGGAGGGGAAGATACCGAGAGAGAAGAGAGTAGGGACAAGATAAGTCAGCAAGGAAGGATACCTCATGAAGGAAAGGATACATCAGCATGAAAATGAGACATTATTGGGAAAAATATTGCTTAACAAGGAAATGATACCGCTGACTGGCAGTTCCATTACTAGATAGAAAGTCTATACGACAGAACACAGACAGCCCCGGCTTGCCGAAATATGGGTGTGTCAACAATGGCGTAGTTCTTGGAGAAACAAACAAGAACATACAACTACAGGACACCACAAACTGCTTTTGTACCGTTGTTTTGAAAGACGGGTGTTTGCGCACCAGTGGACTTTCTGCAAATTGGTATTGAATAGGTGAGAGGACTGAATGGAGAGTGACGATTTGTTCTAAAGGGACTGATAGGTTAAGTTTTTGTTTTTGTGTGTTAGATATGTGTAGCTAGTTAAGTCGATTTCGATCATGTCGCCGACCTCTACAATGTGGTTTTTCTTTTCTTCCAAAGTGTCTCCGTTTGATACTCACTCTGGTGAAGACATTTGTGTCAGCGGTGTCCGAAAAAAAGTCTCTAACAGGGGTGGTGCTAGGATCTTAGACTCAAAACTTTCAGACAAGCAAAACTGATCTCTCCTGTAAACCTAATGGTCAGGGATTGCAATGGTTGAGTGCACTGTTATCTGTCCACGGGAACAGATGAAAATAATCCATCGCCCTATTAGATTCAATGATTATGAAAACCAAGATGACTGATGAGAACGACCAAGCCGTTACAACGTATCAAAGACAGGTTAATGCCGCGTTGAAACAACGATTCAAAACCGCCAATGCATTCTTCCCATTGCTCAGGCCTGAGAGATCCTTTAGAGCTTTAGGACTCAGAACAGACGACAAAATTATACTTCCAACAATGGATGCAGACATATCATGATCAATGACCTGAATACTACCGAAAATGACACAATGGAAGAAGAGGAACAGGAGCAAGAGGAAAGGAAATAAATAATGAATGATGATCATTGGCACAAGTGCTGAAAATAAAATGGGACAAAAAGAAAGAAAGAAAGAAAGAAAGAAAGAAAGAAAGAAAGAAAGAAAGAAAGAAAGAAAGAAAGAAAGAAAGAAAGAAAAAACGAAAGAAAGAAAGAAAAATAAGGAGCAGCAGCAGCAATAGCAGCAGCAGCAACAGCGGTAGCAGGAAGATGAGGAGGAGGAACAGGAGAATTAAAAAAAAAAATAGGTGGCACATTGATACATTATTCTCTATGTGATAGCAGCTGCCCTAGCTTCACCATCAGCGTTATGTTATGCAGGCAGTAACCATAGGTCGGAGATGTGTTTAGCGAATCACCTGGTATGGAATGTGACAACCAATTTCTGAGAAAACCGTGCGTTTGTTGCCAATGTTTGATACACCGTGTTTTGTTGGTAGCCTTATTGGTCCAAAAACACTGCGCGCTGTCTCATCAGATCCTTAAAGTGCAAAACAGATTCAGAATCTGAGTTCATCTGCTTGTGAGCCTAAGAAACAACCGTCTACAAACAATAAGCCAGATCTTTAAAACGGAAAACATAAATTCTGTATCCAAACCAATTTTAAGTAGTGGACGAACAACCAAAACTTTCAACCGGCGTTTACAGTTGGCGAACGCTAAGAAAAGGAAAACAGTGTGACTGAAACACTCTTAACTGCATTCAGGAAGGTTGCTTCATCTGCTGTCTACTTTTCCGCCTCGTCAACTTTCATGATGCTGTCTATGCGCAAGTGTCAGGTATTCTACTGGTCTGACATCAATGTGATTTCAATCAGTGACATGTTAATAAGGTAATTTTATGTATTATTGCTCCTACTTGTGTTACTATAGATTTGTGTAATGTGCTGATGAAAGCTCTCTAACCGCAATATTCACCTGTCGACTGAATTTGTGATATTGTGAAGCTCACTGGTTCTACCTTTCCTTTGCTTTAATATATGTTTTTGTCTATGCATCAATCCCCTTCGATCTCCAGATCCCGAAGAATTTTACTTTGCGTGTGCAAGCTTCATGGTCTTGCCGGGACTGACATAGATTTTGCTGGTTTCCAAAGGGACAGTGAATAACATTTCGTGTGAAACCCGCTGGCACAGAAATTGAGTGGTTACGGGGCTACCCTTCTGCAGTGAAGTCAGAACCTTAACGATTCACGTAGAAAGTTATCACTAGTTTTTTTTTTTCTTTTTTATTCTATGGTACCAGGAAGGAGGGGCAGGGGCCGACCAGCACGAAGTTGGACACTGGATATAAGTGACTCCTTGAGTATGAAAGCGAATGAGCTGGCGAGAGACCGAGTTTTTTTTTCAGGCAGACCGTGATTAGAGCGACGTTCTGCAAAAGACCTGCTACATTATGATGATAATCACAAATAATTTGCATAACTTTTATTTTTGTGCCGGGCTATGCGAGCGTTCAAGGCGATAAGCGAGCAGATTATCTTGCGGACAGACGGTCACCACGACCAGCCCGGCATTGGACAGGAGAGATGTATATCGTAAAGAAGATCACAACAAGCAGGGATTAGAATTCTTGTCCAAGTTCGTGGACATAGGGGTGCAACCTGGAGTAGCCAAACACAAGACACAACGCGCCTGATTTATCAGCACATAACGGGTGTGGTTAGTCGTTTTACTCTTGTGGAGCTACCGAGGAGAAGATTGGAGCACCTATGGATCTATCCGGAGTGCTGTGGTGATAATCCTAACTAATCAATAATAGAGTAACAGGTTTAAAAGCCCCAATTTCATTCCAAGAATCTCTTAATGGTCAACAAGCAGTTGATACATTTTACTGAGAGGAGATAAGAGAACCTATGGATCTGTCCGGAATGCTGTGATGATAATCCTAACTAATCATGAATCGAGTAACATGTAGGTTCAAAGCCCCTAAGTTCATCCCAAGAAACACTTCATGGCCAACAAACAGATAATAAATTTTACTAATAGTTAAGACATCAACCGGATTGAACAATAACACAACTACTCTGCCTTCTATGTCATCCCGCACTCCTTTGTCTCTCATACCCGCCTAGAATGTGTTCCGAACAGGATATAGGTCCAACAGTTACAATACCTAGAATGTGTCCCAAACAAGATATAGCTCCAACAAATACGATACCTAGAATGTGTCCCAAACAGGATATAGGTCCAACAAATACGACAGCTAAGATGTGACCCAAACAGGATAGGGTCCAACAAATACGATACCTAGAATGTGTCCTAAACAGGATATAGGTCCAACAAATACGATACATAGAATGTGTCCCAAACAGAGTATAGGTCCAACAGATAGGATACGTAGAATGTGTCCCAAACAGGATATAGGTCCAACAAATACGATACCTAGAATTTGTCCCAAATAGGTTATAGGTCCAACAAATACGATACCTAGAATGTGTCCCAAACAGGATATAGGTCCAACAAATACGATACCTAGAATGTGTCCCAAACAGGATATAGGTCCAACAAATACGATACCTAGAATGTGTCCCAAACAGGATATAGGTCCAACAGATAGGACACCTAGAATTTGTTCCACACAGAATATAGGTCCAACAAATACAATACCTAGAATGTGTCTCAAGCGGAATATAGATCAAACAAATACGATACCTAGAATGTGTCCCAAACAGAATATAAGTCCAACAGATAGGATACCTAGAATGTGTCCTAAACAGAATTTAGGTCCAACAAATACGATACATAGAATGTGTCCCAAACAGAATATAGGTCTAACAAATACGATACCTAGAATGTGTCCCAAACAGAATATAGGTCCAACAGATAGGACACCTAGAATTTGTCCCAAACAGAATATAGGTCTAACAAATGCGACACCTAGGATGTGACCCAAACAGGATATAGGTCCAACAAATACGATACATAGAATGAATGTGTCCCAAACAGGAAATATGTCCAACAAACACGATACAACGCTGCAGTCCACGTACCTGTTCGAGAATACTGATGCAGGCATCATGCGCCACAATCTTGCATGCGATACATTTTCTTCGTGGACCCATTTTCTGAAATCAGAAGTCATATTTTGTACAGTGTAGCATAAGGACACACGCACGTACACATACACAAACACATATGAAACAGATATGAATATTTACCTTCCTTTAACACTAGAAATACTTCTTCATGCTCATCATGAAGCAGCCCCCCCCCCCCCCTCTCCCCCACAACCCATATTACTGGCTGTGTTCCAAACTTCAACTTTTATCTAAGGATATAAATGCGTTATGCATGTTTACAACATGGCTGCTATATGTGCGCTTTCTGGACGATACATCCAACTTTTGCAGTCATTTGTTGCCCAGATTAGCCTTCCTCTGGTTCACCCCAAAAGATTACGACGTTACAATGTGGCTGCAGTATTTCAGTTTATGAGAAATGATACTGTTTACGAGTCAGATTCCATGTACGTAAAGTAGTGAAGAAAATCCGTTTTCCCCTCTTCTTAGCGCATGCTACAAGAATCTTTATGTAACATTTAAGTTAATCCTCTTTCAGACACCAGAAAACATACTTTAATATTAAAACACCATCAAAGACACCACAAAAGAGATATGAAAATTACTGCCATATCTTTGACACGATAAAAGAGATGTTTATAAAAACGTCATAACTTTAATATGATAAAAGAGATGTAATAACGTCATACCTTCGATACGATAAAATAACCGTTAATAATAACGTCATAACTTAGACATGCTGACATGCGTTTTAATGTTTAACACAAATACTGGCAGGCGAGTTAACGTCCTATTTTAGGAACAAGGACATCGGCACAACTAGTACCTAAACAACGAGCACATAAACAGCTAGCATACGAACAACACGTACACAAACAACAAGCAGATAAACAAGTAACCCCCCCCCCCCCGCCCCCTCCCCCTAATAAAATACACAAACAACAAGTACACAAATAGCTAGCACACAAATCACAAGTACGCAAAGAAGCAGTACACAAACAACTACTATACAAACAACAAGCACACACACAAAAAACCAACACACTACAATAAGTATATATACACCAGCAAACAAACAGAACATAACAACCAATAGACAAACAACAGGTAAACAGACACCAGTAGACAAATAGTAAGTACAAAAACAACCAGTATACATACAAACCAGTACACAAACAACCTGTACACAAATAGCAAGGACACAAATAACAAGTACACTAATAGCAAGGACACAAATAACAAGGACACAAATAACAAGTACACAAACAGCCAGTACACAAACAGCAAGCACACAAATAACAAGTACACAAACAACCAGTACACAAATAACAAGTACACAAACAACCAGTATACATAAAAATCAGTACACAAACAACCAGTACACGAATAGCAAGCACACAAATAACAAGTACACAAATAACCAGTACACAAACAACCAGTACACAAACAACCAGTACACAAATAACAAGTACACAAACAACCAGTATACATACAAACCAGTACACAAACAACCAGTACACAAATAGCAAGCACACAAATAACAAGTACACAAACAACCAGTATACAAACAACCAGTACACAAATAGCAAGCACATGTACACAAACAAACACACACGCACAAAAACAGTACACAAACAACAAGTACACAAACAACAAGCGAACAAACAAGTTCACAAACAACAAACGCACAACGACAAGTAGACAAACAAGCGAAGAGACAAGTACACAAACAACAAGTGTAGAAACAGGTATACAAACAGCTGGTGCGCATACAGCCGGTACGCAAACAACCAGTACACAAAAACAAGTACACAAACAACGATTTAAAAAAAAAAAAGAGTTAACACACACACACACACGACTACAAGAGTATACACACATTACAAGTATACAAACACAATGCACATATACAACACAGGGATGCTGCAACTCACCAGACAATCTGTCTCCATGGCGTAACAATAATCGCCGGACGCGTTGGTCTCCACCCACAGATGTTCACTGTTCTGTGCGTGTTCCTGCAGATTAAAGGTCCAGACATTGCATCACCAGCGACACATCCAGTTATTTATTTCTACTGACTCTCAGCACAAACAAAAACCACTTGAAGACAGATAGGTGAGGGGATTTGTGGAATCAGAACAGACTAAAATGACTGTAGTAAGCGGTCACAAACAGGAATGAGAAACACGTGACCATTGGAGACTATACTAGTGACAACATTATGTAATGTCAGTTGTGTAAATCGCTAACAGCCTTGGTTCTTGTACGGTACCCGTAGAGACTTTCTATCTATATTACTAACTGAATTTCCCCGTGTGGGTTTCCGGGGCCCTATTATAGGGAAAACAAGAATAGAACCACCGCCTACCCAAAAGCAGGTCGCAAGAGTCGACTAATTGGGAGCTTCCTTGGAAGTCGGAGTGCATCTGCCTGAGAGGCAAGGAACCAGCAGTCTGCATACAAATGAGTCAGATCTGTAAAACAAATGCACACGCAACACTCAGGTTCTGGAACAGGACTGCAGTCTGAAAGTGGATGAACAACCAGAACTTTCCGCCAGAGTTTACAACTGGTGAATACGAAAAAAAAAAGAAGACTAAGTGAACAGCTGAACAGCCAGTAAGGTTGCCAGTTTCTGTCAAATCGTTAATACAGAAAGTTTCCATTTAAGAAATCATGTTGTGAGTAACTGCTACTTGTAGAGATGGCAGCTCAGGCAGTCCTTCAACTGAGTGTCGACGTATGAGAATATTAAAACAAAACAGAGGAACAACATATATATATGTAAAGAGAAGAACGAATCTAATTGGTTGTAACACATTATCTTTGAGTTACTGCGAATTTAATCTGTTACTCTAAATTCATACAGGCACGACATCTTTATCAAAATGGTCTGTTCGCCCCACCCCCCCCCCCTTTTTCCCCTTTTCAGCACCATTTGGGTGGGGTTGGGGCGGCAGTGCCCACTTTGAGAAACACTGAGCTAGGGCACAAAAATTATGTACAAAGACATAGATGACTGTTGTTCACAGCTCTTTGACTGTCTCACAAATGGTACAATATGACATGAGTCAATCAAATGTAATCACAACTGAACAAGTCAATACAGCTACATTTCGGAAACTCGTCAGTTTCTTTTATCATTGTCTGTCTGTTAGTCAATCAGTCTCTCTCTCTCTCTCTCTCTCTCTCTCTCTCTCTCTCTCTCTCTCTCTCTCTCTCTCTCTCTCTTCCTCTCTCTCTGTCTCCCTCTGTCTCTTTCCAGGAAAAAGCTTAGACCAAGAGAAACAACAGACCAAGCAAGCGAAACAACAGTGCAAGCTAAGAGAAACACAGGTGCAGGCCAAGAGAAACACAGGTGCAAGCCAAGAGAAACACAGGTGCAAGCCAAGAGAAACATCAGTGCAAGCCAAGAGAAACACCAGTGCAAGCCAAGAGAAACACCAGTGCTAGCCAAGAGAAACACCAGTGCAAGCCAAGAGAAACAACAGTGCAAGCCAAGAGAAACACCAGTGCAAGCCAAGAGAAACAACAGTGAAAGCCAAGAGAAACACCAGTGCAAGCCAAGAGAAACACCAGTGCAAGCCAAGAGAAACACCAGTGCAAGCCAAGAGAAACAACAGTGCAAGCCAAGAGAAACAACAGTGCAAGCCAAGAGAAACACCAGTGCAGGCCAAGAAAAACGCCGGTTTTAAGCCAAGAGAAACACCAGTGCAGGCCAAGAGAAACGCCGGTTTTAAGCCAAGAGAAACACAAGTGCAAGCCAAGAGAAACACCAGTGCAGGCCAAGAGAAACACCAGTGCAGGCCAAGAGAAACACCAGTGCAAGCCAAGAGAAACACCAGTGCAAGCCAAGAGAAACAACAGTGCAAGCCAAGAAAAACACCAGTGCAGGCCAAGAGAAACACCAGTGCAGGCCAAGAGAAACAACAGTGCAAGCCAAGAGAAACAACAGTGCAAGCTAAGAGAAACACCAGTGCAGGCCAAGAAAAACGCCGGTTTTAAGCCAAGAGAAACACCAGTGCAGGCCAAGAGAAACGCCGGTTTTAAGCCAAGAGAAACACAAGTGCAAGCCAAGAGAAACACCAGTGCAGGCCAAGAGAAACACCAGTGCAGGCCAAGAGAAACACCAGTGCAAGCCAAGAGAAACACCAGTGCAAGCCAAGAGAAACAACAGTGCAAGCCAAGAAAAACACCAGTGCAGGCCAAGAGAAACACCAGTGCAAGCTAAACTTTACGGGTCCATGAGTGAATTACAAGAGACAGTGAAGTTCATATTAGAGATAACATTGCAAATATTTATAATCTGTTTCAAGCGAATGTAAGAAGAATTAGTTCTTTTCAAACATCATCATGTCCGACGTTCTGCGCTCAAGGTAGATATTACTGCTGGACTGTTCAGAATAAAAAAAATGCAAAACTTCTGAATGTAATACTGACAAGTAAAATCCCATAACAGGCAACAGATTTTTGGGTTGGTTGTGAAGTCCTGTCACTAATCTGTGACATTATGGTGTAACAAAAGTACGATCCAACAAGACTTTCATAAACAATAGAATATTCTCAACACCTCAACAAACATTGAATATCGTAAAATCATCAAATGTTTTAGTACCAATATGATGCATGAACATAAAGGCAGGAAGAATGACATTAAAGCAGATTGAAGGACGGGGGGAAATATGAACCAGATAAGATTAAGGAAACTAGAGTCAGGCTGATAGTGATATGTGAAAACAATAAGTTCATTATCAGTAATACATTTTCCCATCATGAAACTGAAATTCTATTCGCCAGAGACGGCCTGGGGAGAGAACATAAAGCAATTTTGATTACATTATGATGGGAATTTACTGAAAAGATGTTAGGAATGCTGGAGCATACCGAGGTAAAGATATTAAATCAAATTACAAACATGTAGTTAAACAATGTAAATAACACTAAATAATATTAAGAACACCTGCATGCACACAAACTAGATATGAGATAATTAGATCTGACAGAAGCAAAGTGAACAAACAAATATAACAGTCACACGGTTGGAATCATGAAATATACTAGTACCACTATCATAGCTGAAAGTCTTCAGTGCAATGTATAAACACGCAGGCAAGTGTGTGTTGTCCATCAAGATGATGATGACCACTCTTTTTCGTCAAGTATGAGTACGAAGATGACTGATGAGGCCGATGCGGGCCCGAAAAGTTCTTGGACAGTAAGGACAGGGAATGAGTATTGTGCCAGGGAGGGGATCTCCTGCAGTCGCCTATCTGTCCAAACTTTTCTTAATCAGTCTTGCTGTTCTGTTTGCCCCACATGTGCCGCGCCTCTGTGTAGAGCTGCACGCCATGCATTTCGGTCTTGACAGGCAGCCTCCGAATTGGTGCTTTTCATCTCAAATGCTTTGAGTAAAAACTTCAAGGTGTCCTTGAAGGGTTACTTTTGCTCACCATAGAAGAGTTTTTTTTTTTTGGGAGCCTGTGATCTGGCATACGTGCCACATGACCAGCCCAACGAATTTGATACTGTATTAGTAGAGTGTGGATGCTGGGTATGGCTGCTTTCTCTAGGACTAAGGTATCAGGTACTTTGTCTTGCCATCTGATCTGCATTAGTTTTCTAAGGCAGACTGTTTGAAAATAGTATAACTTTCTAGCCTGGCGCAGGTATGCAGTCCATGTTTCGCATGCGTACAGCAGTTTAGGTAATACAACTGCTCCGCATACTTTAAGCGTTGTCTGCAGGGTTATGCCACTTCTGTTCCAAACAGTTTTGTACCATCTGCCAAAGGCAACGCTAGCCCTAGAGATCCTTGCATTTACTTCGTCATCAATTGTGGCGCTCTGTGAAGGGGTGCTGCCTAGATAAGTAAATTTCCTGACAACGTTTAATATGTAGCCATTCACTGTGATATTGGGCTCGGTGTATCGTTGACGCAGGCGAGTAAACCTATGTCAAATGTCCCTGACCTATATGGCGATATCCCACGTATCATGGACCTACAATTCCTAGTGACGGCGACGCGGTCACAATAACTATAGATCCATCGTACCTGGGAGATTTTTTTGTGGGGTGAATATGTGAGATATGTGTATGCTGTTTGTGTGATGTGTTCAGTGTGTATACATGATGTATCGGTTAGTTAGACGTTAGTCTCCCCAGACCCTGCCCATATACACACTAGCTCACTTCTGATTGGTAGTTCCTGAGCCCGGTGGCCTTCGAACACGGTAACGGGGGTGCTCCGCAATGCTGTTGATTTCGTGTGTTGTAAATTTCAGCACGCCAGCGCTCTTAACACTCCAACAACATGGAGAAATAGGGTCTAACACAACACCCTTAGAGTGTGATGCAACCTTTGTCACGGGCATTCTCTTTCTCGAAATGAAAACGTAAATGCAAGACATCGCAGAAACCAAACAACAGAGCGGGACACATCAATAACCTTCAGGAAAGTCGACCAGCCCAGCAAACTTGTAAATGAAAAGTGACCTACTCTATTTGCGGAGACTAACTTCGAACTAACCGATGTATCTGTGTGATATGTGTTTCATGCGTTTATGTGTGTGTTTGTGTGTGGTTGCGTGTTGTACGTAGTAGGTGCTTTTGTATTGTGTTCAAGAATATTATGTGCAGTCATTCGACCTGTGGTCACTGGAATACTGTCGGATAAGTCAGGGATATCGAACAAAGGTTTGCGAATACAGCACCCCCCCCCCCAATCATATATACACACCCACACACACACACACACACACACACAGAGAGAGAGAGAGAGAGAGAGAGAGAGAGAGAGAGAGAGAGAGGGGGAGAACACGTATAAACAACTCGCAAACACACATAGATAACCCACAATTATGTCTCATGTATCTGACCCACCCGACAGTTTCCCAGGCACAACTGGACCACACTCATGAATGACCACGACGTAACAAACCAACGTAATATCACAACGTAATATCCCAACGTAATATCACAACGTAATATCACAACGTAATATCACAACGTAATATCA